CAAATTATTATATTTCAAATATTCTGACATTTATTTTTAAATCATTGCTTTGTCTTTGATTTACCACATCTTTTACAATGCATTTACCATTTCATATAAATTATACAAAACAGTTTTCAGTCCCCATCAGTTCTCAGCCAATATTGCATAAGAATTTTGGCAGCAAAAAAATAGAAATCATCTTAACTCTGCAGCTCATTTGGAGAGAACACTATTTAAATTGTTCCTAATGCAAGGTTGAAATTAATCTTGATTTCCCATCGAATGTACAGGGATTTTACAATATAGTTCATAATAGCATTTAATTCCTCCAGGGTACAAGTTAAGATAAACAAGTCACTGACAGTGTTTATCTATCAATATAGCAGATGGTGTGGGACTGAGGTTAGTTATCAATTCTGCCTACTTTAATTTCATGGTTATAAAACACTATAAACCTCACTGTTTATAAAAGGTGGGGAAGAAACTCCAGTGGGCTTCAGTAGCCAAGAAACCCTCAGTAACATTAATCTCTCTAACTGATATTCGGTATCCTCCTAGGGTGCAATATTTAGGATTGTGGAGTGATTGCTAGACGCATTTAAATTTTCACTGGGATCATTAGCTAGCATTTCTGTCATTGATCTATTATAACTTTGTTAGTTAGTTCCATGTGAGTGAAATTTAGTGAATGAAAGGATTCTTTCTAAACTTTGGTAGGTGAATGTTTAACAATTACTTGAGGCAGTTACATATGTAAAAGATAGCCTACTTCGTCAAAATAATACTTTTTTAACGCAAAGATGAAGTATGATACCTAACCAGACCAAATGTACTTAGGGATAGAATTTCATAAAGGAAAACCATGGAATCATTTGAATAATTAATGAGCTCATGTATTTCATATACAATTACATTTAGGCAATTTTAAAAGAAGCAAAACCATTTATTCTTCCTATTCTGAATTGATTTAAATATAAAATTTCATTGTGATCTTTTTTTCATTAAAAATCTATATGCTCAATTTGATTAAAGTTAATTCTTCCCAAAAGGACTGCAATTACAAAAAACAATATTATTGGAAATCACTCAATTTTTCCATACCATCTTTATAGTGAATAACAAAATTTATTTTATAATCACAAAAGTTAAAAAAAAATTCACAAGCTCTACCTCTATTACTTTTACGTTCTGAAGAGGTTGATTTTCAGTTCCTAAGAAGGGGAGGTTTCTTAAATAAATGATAAGCCAATATGCACGCGGTGGACTAAAACTTCTTTTACTAAAAATGCCTTGTTTTAGAGTTCAGACTCCTTGAGAATGAGTTTTCTAAGACAAAATCCTCCTCAGTTACTGGTCTAGTCTTGTACTAGGTTGCTTCTCCCTGACCCACCCTGAGAGTTTTATTAGTGAAACTCCAATCTAGCAGTACACTGATTATTCCTAACATAGAGCTCAAAAACTTTGGCTTCCAAGGAGCTGTGTTCCGAACAGCAGCAGCCCTGGGTGGAGAGATGATTGAACGGAACCTTTGGTAATACAGTCATGCACCACATAAGGACATTTCCATCAACAACAGACCACACATACAACGGTGGCTCAATAAGATTATAATACCGTATTTTTTACTGTACCTTTTCTATATTTAGATATACAAACACTTACTATTGTGTTACAACTGCCTACAGAATTCAATACAGTGACATTCTATACAGGTCTGTAGCCTAGGAGAAGTAGGATATACCATATAGCCTAGATGTATGATAGGCTATACTGTCTAGGTTTGTGTAAGTACACATGATAATGTTCACACAAAAACCCGATTGCCTAACTATGCATTTCTCAGCACATACCCCATCATTAAGCGCTGCATGACTATATATCTTCTCATCTCCCTTCCTTTCTGCCCAGAGCCTCTTACCATTAGATGTAATATCCCACTATTTGATACATTCATTTCTGTAAAGAACTGTCTGCTCATACATAGATATCTAGGTCTCAAAATACATGAAACAGCTATAACAAAGGACAGGAAAGCCTTTCTTAAGTGGAGGCTTTACTTCATTTTCCCTTTTTTTTCTTTTAATGCCTCAAAGTTGACCTTAATCTTCATCATCAAAAACATTGGTTATTGGATGATTGGTATGTTTGACATTCATATTTGTGTCAAATTAAGTCAAAACTGGGGGTGAATTCACTTTAAAGTTATCAATAAAAATCCCCTAAAATAGGTCTATTAATTAATTTTAACTATTACATCTTTTTGTCTGTAAAGTGGGAAAGCCAGAAAAAAGACCATGTCCTCAAGGGGAAAGATTTCCTTTTTAAAACCTGGTCACTATGAAGCATGTTTTCTAGAGTCATGAGGCTGCTGGAAATTGGTGGGAGTGTGTTTCTCAGAAACAAGGACAGGAAGACTAGGACCTCAGAGTGATCAGGAGTAGCTCTGTAGTGGGGCAAAAATGGCTAACAGTAGAAAGTCAATTAGTTAGGGTGGGGGGTGGGGAAAGAGGAAGGCAGACAGGACAGGGGAAATAAGCAAAGCTAGTTATTCCGGTGTCTGAGTGAATAGGTACGCAGAGTATTTGGTTTAGGGACTTGCCTTTAGAGGATTCATACATACTGTGGGTCTTAGGGAAATGAGATCCTTAAAAGCACATTAAAACAATAACTCTTACAAAAAAGGGGTCTTTTTCAATAGCCCAATGGATGGCCTAAAATGACTTTCTTTATTTTCCCAGTCTATATATGAGATATGAGTTATCTTATAAAACGTAATCTTTTTTATAATCATGGTTTGCAGAGAAAAAGTTTCTATAGGGAAATTCCCCTATAATTAAAGTGGAAAAGCAAGCCGTTACAGTTTGTGTTCCTGCTTTCACCCAAATCTATCAAATTTATTAAAACAATGTTGTAGAAATAACTTGCTGCCTTATAATACAAAACAAGTTACAATCCAGGGAATAAAAATAATGCACAAGATGTAAATACTTTAATCTTATTTTTATTATTTTCTTTCAGATTATCCAACCCTGTCTAATGTCAAAGGCATTGCATTGTATAAAAGAAAACATGCGAGGGAAATCACATTAACTGGATTTCATTCCCCCTTCAATGGTCAGTTAAAAATCAAACCTTTATAATATTTTTATTATGGAGTTCCTCTAAA